CAATGTTCCCCGCCGGCCCGCCGGCCCGCCGCGTCGTTCTTTCGGCTACTCTCCCGTTTATGCTAACCAGTCCGCCACAACACGTTGGCCCGGCCCGGCCACCCGGCCCGGCCACCCGGCCGCAAACTCGCTTACGGTGCACTTTAAGGGAGAGCCGTCCTGGCGGGCCGCCTTGCCGCCCGTCAAGGACCAAGCTTAAAGTTTATATCACATTAGCGACTTATTCCAAAAGCCCTGGCACTGCTGGTCGCTGCGCCGCGACTTCCCCACGCGAAACGCGACTAGTTGCCATTAAATATTAGTGGTTTCGAGTGGTTCCCACTTCTTAAAGATCTCGCACTGAGTGCCGGGAGGGCCGAATCCGGCCGAGTCCCCGAGGCGATGCAGAGAGTGATCAAGCTTGTCCCTGTTTTCCCTCTCGCCAGGCCCTGATCAATCTTTGGTTGGCGTGCCTGCACTGCGGAAACACAGAAAAGCGGGACGGCGTCGAGGAGCGCCTGCGCGGTAGGCAGTCGACGGACGTCGCGACACGACAGTGTGGCGGCAGGCCTACCCGGCCGATGACAGGCGCTCCGGCGTGGAGGTTGGACTTGCGCGCAGCGCGCTCGGAGGACGGACGGACGGACGGATAGACGGACAGACGGACAAGGAGGCAGACAGACAGACAGACAGACAGACAGACAGACAGACAGACAGACAGACAGGCAGGCAGGCCTGGCGGGGCTTCCTCCGCTCATTTCCTCCAGCATGTCGCTGCCGCTCGCTGCCGCTCGCTGCATCGTCGATTCGGAAACGAACGGCAGGGAGCAGCCAGTGCTAGCCAGCGCCACCAAGTGCTGTTTCATTGGCGGAGCCCCCCCCTCCCCCTTTTCCCCCTGGCCGTCCACATCCACTGCCGTCTCTCTCGCACTCCCTCAGGACGGCCCTCGAGTGCGAGAGAGAGAGAGGCCGCGCTCGGGCTGCTTGGAGGGAGCACTCTGGCGTGAGCGCTGAGCGCGCTGAGCGCGGCGTCGGGCCTTACTACCGAAATCATTTTTGTCCTGCAAACTTTCCGCGGGACAAGAAACAGACAGAGACAGCGCCTTGGCTTCCTTTTTTTTCGGTGCGCCCTCCTGCGGCCCCTGCGGCCCGCGCCCTCGGCTCACCTTTTTGCCTTTTTGTTTCTGCGAATGAAAAATGCTGGAAGTTTGCGCGCTGGCGGGGAAATGAGTCAACAAACGAATTTCGCGCGGCCGGCGTGGCGCGGCGTGGCGCGGCGCGGCCTCGGGGAGACGGCAGCTAGCATCAGCATCGCCAGGGTCGCGTCTATTTAGTCACTGTCGACCCCGCGGACTGGCCGTACTGGCGGGGAAGACAAGGCTTCCGGCCGGCCGGGCCTCTGGCTCTCCCTCTGTCTCTCTCGCACTCAAAGGGGCGTCCCGAAGGGGTGCGAGAGAGAGAGAGAGACAGCCCGGTGGGACCTCCCCTCGGAAACAGTCCGCTAGAGGACCAGCAGCATCCTGCAAAAGGGATGGATGGACAGCAGGGCAGTCGCTCTGTCTCTCTGCCGCAGGCCCGGCCTAGAGTGCGAGAGAGAAAGCGCCCGCGCTGCACTTTTGGCCTGCTTCTGCCAGGGTTTTACTGGTTTTGCACGGTGGCTGCCCGAGCCCCCGCACAGTGGGCCACAAGACCGGCGGCGGCGGCCAAAACTCCAGACGCTTTTTGAGCTCCACAGTCGCTAAATGGGACTCGAACCGAACGTGTGACCCCAGCAATGGATTGCTCTTCGAACGAGGAATCCATTGGTGGGGTCACACGTTCGGTTCGAGTCCCGTTTAGCGACTCTGGAGCTAGAAACGCGCCTAGAGCTTTGGCCGCCACAGTGCGGCGCGGTCCCCAGGGCGGCATCGCTGCCGGGTACGTCCCGTCCGCTTGGACGCTTGGACGCTTCGTCCGACGTCCCGCCACGCAACACGGCCACTCTTGCGGGGAGAAGTTTCCCGCCGCCAAAGTTGCAGCCGCCACCCGGACCACCCAGTCTCCCTCAAGAATTCCCGCCCAGGGGAGCGGGAAATTTCCCTCCGAACATCCGCCTTCCCGCGATAGCGGGAAATTTCCCTCAGGGGAGCAGTATCTCACCAACACTTTGCTCGACTTTTGCAGTGCAGCCACTCTTCCGCCTCCAATCCATTCCGCTTCCCTGAGGTCGCCGCCGGCGATGAGGACACCCTGACGACTTCCGGCGAGGACTTCCCCGGAGTCTATCGCTGACGTCAGAGGGAGGGCTGGCAGTCAGACGGGGCACGATCGAGTGACCACGTGGCCGAATGCGCCCTGTCTCTCTCGCACCTCGAGCCCCACGAGCGCGAGAGAGACAAAGACACTTGCCCTCGCCCTGCCGCACGAGTGGGCCAGAAGACCGGTGAAGGCGGCCAAAACTCTTGACGCGTTTTGAGCCCCGGAGTCGCTAAACAGATCTCGAACCGAGCGTGTGACCCCACCAATGAATTCCTTGTTCGGAGACCAATCCAATGGTGGGGTCACACGTTCGGTTCGAGTCCCATTTAGCGACTCTGGAGCTCAAAACGCGTCATGAGTTTCGGCCGCCTCCGCCGGTCTTCTGGCCCACTGTGTACCGCGCGTGCAGCCCTGCAGCGCCACTTTTCGGAACAGTGCCGTCCTGGCGGCGGTCGTCTCCACGGCGCCGTGCCCGGCCGTGCCGCGGGGCTTCCGAGGAGGCGGTGCACTGGGAGAGGAAGCCCCACCGGGCGGCTGGAGGCACTGGAGGCAGGCTGGAGACACCTATCTGGGGAGTACCGCGCCACGGCGCCACGGCACCACGATAGCGGCCTGGACGGCTCCAGCGGCAACGGCGGCAGCCCTCGGGCAGCCCAGCAGCAGGGCGCAAGATGAAATAATATCGTGAGGCACACGGCAGAGCCGCGCGGGCCTGGCTTCTAATACCCGCGCCACGCTGCTTTTATTTTTATTGCTTTTTTTTGTCGTGAGTGACTTGCTGGCAAATTGCGCGTCGCACCCGCTTTCGAACGCCACCTGTTTCCTATCTGCAGCTGGCTTCGGTCCCCTTTTTTTTATTTTTCTCTGTCTGTCTCTCTCGCTCTCCGAAGAGCGTGCCGCGCGTCAATGTCGGACAACGAAGTTGGACGCAAGTCCTATCAACTAGTTTTCAGCTTGGGGCCGCGCTTCGCTCACGCACAGGGCGGTCCAGCCCGCGTCCTCTGCACCACGAAGACGCACCCTGCAGGAGTCGTCTCTGTCGCACTCATGGGGCTTGGGGTGCGAGAGAGACAGAGCGACAAAGCGATCTGCCGATTCGCTCAGCTGGTGGCAGGTCGGGTAGGGCACGCTGCCCGAGGCGCGGCCTCGCTGCCCCGCGTCGACAACGACGCCCACGACCTGCGCGAGGGGCGGCGCGGGGTGAGTCAGAGAGAGAGAGAGAGCGCACGATTCCTCGGGGAAGTCCCTCCCACCGGGACACCGGATACGCACTTCCGGGAGGCTCGACCATGGGGATTTCCGGATTTCCGGTCACCGCAAACACGTTTCTTTTCGGTTTTTTTCTAAATTTCTTAGGCTGTTTACCTCTAGGGCCCGGCTGGCATTCTCCTGCTTGCGCAGCGGCAGGCGTCGTCCGGGGGCGTCGGGGTCGTCAGCGTCCTGACGAGTTGTCGTCGGCGCGCGTGGCGGCGGCGCGGGCTGGGCGACGGTGGCGTGCGCCCCTGCTCGGCTCGGCTCGGCCCGACTCGGCCGGCCTCGGCCTGGCTCGGCTCGGCTCCTCTCGGCTGAGGGTTGCACCGCACCGCGTACCGCGTCGCTACGCCTGGCTACGCCTGCCTGGCTACGCGTCGCGAACGGACCGGCGCTGGGGCACGGTCTGGTCTGCGCCGTCTGCGGGGCCTGAGCTTGGCGCGGCGGCGCTGGGGGGCTGCCTGGGCCTGCCTGGCCTGCCCCGCGACGCGGCGACGCGGCCTGCCCGAGCACGCCGACGGGGCCCGGCGCCACGCCCCCCGCCCCCCACCACCGCGACCACGTGCGCACGCCGCACGCCCCGCCGCACGCCCCGCCGCACGCCAAGCACGCCCCGCACGCGCGTGCCGCGTGCTCCCTCGCCCACCCCGGGCCCGGCCCCGGTCGGCTGAATTGCACCGCGATTCAAGCTGGACGAGGCCAAGCCTTTGCGCCGCCTGCGCTTTGAGAGTGTAGCCGCTGATGGGGCAGTCATTCAGGAATGGCTGGTAGCCGCGTGCACAGAAGCACCGCTCTGCTGATGTTCGGACCCGGGTTCGATACCCCCACCACCCTCTACCTTCGTCTTCTCCCAGTGGTGCCGGATGGGTTGCCTGCCTCGCGGGCGTCTCCCAAAAGCCTCTTCTCCCGTAAAGTCGGCATCCCCCTCCCTCGCCATAAAAATCACCCGGTCGGCCCGCTGCCCGTAGCGCCCGCACTGGGCCACGATAACTAGGAACCGCGCCCGGACTAGGCCCACGGAGTTTGCCGAGGCCGCGATGGCAGTTGCGAATCGGGCCGCCTCACCGTTTTATAACTCTCAAGTGGTTTTACGGGGTAATTGTCTTTGGAATATCATTAGCGGCTGCCAGGGAATTCCTCAGCGAGGAGAGGGGGGGGGGTTGCGACTGCGCTGCCAAGTAGTCGGACTTTTCTACATCCAATGTTCAACCCCCCCGGAATGTAATACTGTGTTCTCGCAACTTTGGCTCCGCGTCGCCCCGCGTCTAGCAAAGACGCTGGAGGGCCCCGTGGCGGCACTGCCAGCTCTACACCGCGTCGTTGTGCCCGGAGGCGACGCATTTTTGTTTCATTTTGGCAAGTAAATGTGCGAGGCGCGCGTGGCAGCTACCGGCCCGCCCTGTCGACGGGGAGGTCTTGCAGCTCTAGGTCCACTGACCCCTGAGCTGCGGTGCTGCGGTCCCCTTCGCGCCACACTCAGGGTACCAGTAACGACAGATTCATTTGGGACTTGCAAAGGAACGACACAGGAGTGACGGTTCGTGAGCTTTTTATTTAACTACTAATTTACATTTAGTACGCAGGATGACAAACATAATTTATCTGTTTGATTTAATTTTTTTTGGCAAGGAGACCAAGTATGTTAGATTGAGAATTAAAAACGGCCCTGTTAAAACTGCATAAGTTATATATTACAAGTTATACTATATGTACAAAGGACACATTTGTAAAATAGTGATTCACAGATAAGAATGATCACGTCATAGAGGTAATATATTGCACTTCAATGTAAACATTTACACTGCAGGCTAGCAGGTCTATTCAACTTTAAATATCAAATGTTACAGATGTTATGAGTATAGGACACACTCCATTCTGATTCAGATAAAAAAATTATCACAATAATCAGTACTTCTTCCTTTTTAAGACAGTGAGAAGTAGAGGTTTACATGTTTCAATAACTGAATAATTATTTTGGTTATAGGAAGCAGTCAAATACAATAATTCTAATAAAATTAATCAAAATGGAATATCACAAGAGTACTCTGAGGGGAGGTAAAAACAACTTCCAAAAGCTTTCACTTCTAATGCCGCTGAAGTGAAAACACTCAGAGTATTGGATGTCTTCTTCCACTTCTTTCGAAACTGACAATATACTCTAAATGAGACGTTAACGACTGGCTATGACAGCTTTTAAACTATTCATGCTGCCTCCTGCTGCATGGAATGCAACACAAGCTGTTAAAAGTACAAGTATGTAATTTGGTATAATGGCTAGCATAGAGTGGCCACTTGAGTTTAACAGAGTCAAAGTTGATGCTAACAGATGTGTGACAAGAACCCAAGCAATTTGAACCATATTTCGCTGATCGAGAGCTGGGAAAATGATGATGCTCCAGAAAATATGCAGAAGGACAAAGCAAAGAGTGAAGCAGGCCGAGACCAGGATGAATTTGTCAGAACCTGTCCTCAAGCCCATGGTTGCAGGACCGACCGCATCAGCCAAAACATTAATCAGTGAAAATATACCACTCATGACTCCAAAACCAATACCTGCAGCATAGGCCATCAACTTTCTGTCAATTAGATGCGTGTGTGTCTCCAACATATTTTTCAGACCATTATCAAGCAGTGTTAGAGTTTTGTACAAGAGAAAACGGAATCCCTCCTGACAGAGGACAGACAAAATTACAGATAAAGCTATTTGAACTTCCTGTGACATACCAGTAAGGCCAAACAATAGCCAAATTATTGAAGAAAATAAAGCTGACAGAAGCCAAAAGAATGCACTGGCGAACACAGTTATGACTGCGATGGGATCTTGGGCAATCGTTAGGGTCAACATTGCAATAGCAGGACCAAATGCCAAGAAAGTACATCCAAAAAATTCACACAGGGTCATGGTGAGATGAGTGCCAGCAACTTTGCTGCCGAGATCTTAAGCAGACGGTTCTCCAGCAGATGGTAGAAGCTTTTGTAACACTCTGCGACACGGTTGTGTTCAGACACACAGTCTAGTCTGTAAAAATAACAAAGGCAAGCATATAAAATTAATAAAAACAAAAGGCCAACTTTGTTTGATTTCCCAAAGATAAAATAACTGTACCTTGTTTGAAAAGTTCCTTTAATCAGTTTGTAATGAGAGGGACGGATTTTGTATCTTGTTCTCTAGCAGATGTGTCAAACCAGTAAAATCGAGAAGCCACCTGCGAAAAAAAGAGAGAGGAATAAATACCAGAAAACAAAAGTGTTCACTGTTACTTAAATTCTGTAGGAATTAATAGGTTTGAAAGTGGTCCAATGACAGATACCGCATAGGTTAGGTTGTCAGACACAAGGCCTAAAGACAGCTTGTTAAGACAATTTGAGAATTCTAAATACCTAAGATTGGAGCACTATTAATGAGTATTCGACCACCGTGGATCAGTACCCATTCCGGGAGGGTTTAGTGGAGAAAATGCAGAATTTCTAGCATATTGTTATTGTGCCGACTTGTGTTTCTCTGTCTGTCTGTCTCTCTCTACTCTACTTTGTTTTGTAGGTGCAGTAAGGTAGGGTGGTAGCTCGGCAAACATATTTCACCAACATTCGAAAATTTAAAAAGTTGAAGCTCGAGTTTGAGCTAAAGAAACTCTAATGTCAAATGAATCTGGGGAGAAAGGGCTTAAGAAAGAAGCACTTGTTAAGTTTTTCAGTCACTCATCGGAAATAAAAACGAAAGTTAGCTAAAACTGTGACATTTGTTTGTTCCGTCCTGTTGTGATCCATGCTGCTGTGTACTTCCCCCTCTACCAGGCGCCGTCACCCACCAGTGAGAAGCCTGAGTATTGCTATTATTTACCATCAGTGATCCGAGCCTCGAGATAGCATTTTTCGCCGTTTTCAAGGATCCCAAGAGCCTGGGCAGCCCGAGGATGTGCCGAAGCTGATCCCAAGAGCCGCACCATGGTCGTCGGAGCGCCCGACAAGCCACTGCACTCCAGATAGTGTACTTGTCTTTGTTCGCTGCGAATGAGAGTGCCCTGTAGCCCTGCAGCAGAAAGGCAACACGGCTCTAACGGGAACGGGGTTTTGATCCCTGCTGGCGCCTGGCGCAGCCCGAAACCCCTGGATGGTTTCACTGCATGAGGAAAACACTGCTTAGCATGATCCAGTCCAACAGGAACAAGCTGGAGGTGAGTTCGGCGAGTGGCCGTGAGGTTATATCATTTCTCGACAGGTCCGCCATTCCCGAGGCTGAGGCTTTCAGACCCCAAACAGCTGATCGCCGCGCCCGGTGCACTGGCTCTAGCTGCGCTCCCGGGCTACCGACAGGCTATCTGTCGCCTGTCGGGGCGCGAGTTCGACTCCCGGGCCGCCCGGCCTTCCCCGGGGCTGGGAGAAAACCGCGGGTCTGTGACCTTTGGCGGGATGTGGACGGTTCCCTCGAGCCTCGAGCCCGCTGGCCGGGAAGCGGCGCCCGGCCCTCCCGACCCTACTGCGCATTAGAACCAACTGGCCATTCCTTTGTTCATTGGAGTTGCTTTCCCGGATTCGAGTTTGTGCCGCGGCCTCGCTCGGCCACACAAAATCCCAATCTACATAGCGTTGAGTGGCCCCTCCTGTCCCCAGTCACCTTGTCCCTTTGTTGAGGGCACTCCTGCCAAAGCCTTCCCTAGGGGGAACTCTACCTGCCCCACTATGGATGTGATCTAAAATGCCGTTTGTCTATTCTTGTGCTTTTGGAATAATATGCATCAATGCAGAGAAGTTATCATCTGTCCCACCTGCCTTCTGTTTTACTTTTAATTAATTTTTTTTTTTCAAAATTTTTATAATAGAAATTGTAGTTTTTACAAGAGTTCCTTGTCAATGATGAGGTTTTTCATGAAGACTAAAGCAAGAGTTTAGAAGTTGAAAGAGTGGTTACTGTTAGTGTTTCAATGCTTGAGCAAATTTTGAATACTTTTGTCGCCACAGGTTTTGAAACAACCGTGGTGGATCCCTCCAATCCTTCGCAAGAAACCTCAACATAGTTTTTCTGTTTGCACAGGCTCCATGAAACAAAGCTACGTGCAGGTACACGCCTAATCTGTTTTGCCAGTGAAACCCCTATATTTGTCTAAAAAAAAAAGACTTTTTCTACATGAAACCGAAAATCTCTTATTTAAAATAGCAAAAGTGTGCTGTTAATCACATTTTGAATAATTCTTTTGAATGCTTCTCCATTTCTCTGAGAAGCAGAAGTTGGGATTTCACTGAAATTTGCATAGCTTCTGGACTACAGTTTTTTAGCATAGAGCCAACCACTTTGGAGCTGTCAAAGCTGTTATCCCACTGGAAGTAGTTCTTTGCTTAAATTAATAGCTATTAGCTTCTTAACACCCATACCTATTCCTGTACCCCTGCTGAAATCTGGCAAAATGTCTTTTCTACTGAAATGGCCCGTATCTAAATTATTTCATATCCTTCTGTGACTCCATCTCAAAGTTTTAAGCATGTTGAGATATGCTTCAACCATTTATTATTTTTATTTTCTTTATTTTTTCAATTAGTCTTCAGTAAATCTGTGCTTTACCTTTAGTGAACATCCCAAGTAGAGCAAGAGAGCTCCCCTTAAGTTTTACTTCCACAGCTCATTAATTTTCTCTAAACAATTTTTGCCTCTCTTCCTTGCAGTTGAGGCGGGTGTTCATGGAGGAAGAAGCTTTAATCAACAAGAAACTCCCCAAGGAGTTGTTACTTAGGTAAAAGTCAAGAAACAAACGATACAATAAAAGGTTTGTGCAAAAAGCAGTGTTTGTATATTCACCTTACGTTATTTTACAGGATATTTTCCTGTTTGGATGTGGTGTCACTGTGCAGATGTGCACAAGTGTCAAAGGCATGGAATGTTTTAGCCTTGGATGGAAGCAACTGGCAGCGCATTGACTTGTTTGATTTCCAAAGAGATGTTGAGGTGAGTGTTTAGTGAAACTGTCATTAAGCAGGGCTCACAATTTTGTTTGTTAGTTAGTCACCCTAATGATTAATTGGCTTTTTAAAAATTTCAGGGTCCTGTTATAGAAAACATTTCTCGAAGATGCGGGGGCTTCTTGCGAAAGCTCAGCTTAAAAGGCTGTCAATCAATTGCTGATGGGTCAATGAAGTTATTTGCACAACTATGTCACAATGTAGAAGATTTAAATCTCAATTTATGTAAAAACATAGGTGACAGGTAATCTATTTTATGGTCTGGATTTCTCGTTGCTTTCTTTCTAAATCTTCATTTTTTTGTCTGACTAACTAAATTTAACTTTTTTCCCAGCACTTGTCAAGCTCTGAGCAAACATTGCCCTAAGCTACAGCGTATAGATTTGGGGTCATGTTGTGAGATAACTGACAACTCTTTGAAGGCATTGTCAGATGGCTGCCCAGCTCTTACACATTTAAACATAGCATGGTGTGATAGCATAACACATTTTGGTAACCATCATCTTTCAATCAATTTGATGCTGTAAAAATAAAAGTTTTATGTGACCTTATGAATTTTGAAATTTTTTCCAGGTGTTGAAGCATTGGCTCATGGGTGCCCCAAATTACGTTCTTTTATGTGTAGTGGGTGTGTCCAATTGAATGATGCTGCTATTCGTGTTTTAGCAGAACACTGTCCAAATCTTGAGGTTGTCAACTTATTTGGCTGTAATGTAAGTATTCTCTTCATTCTCTTCCCTTTTGTCCCGTCTACCACGTCTACCCGTCTGTCCCGTCTCACACGTGTGATTCTTGCTATAAATTTCTTTTCTTTTTGCAGTTGGTCACAGATGAAGCAGTCCATAAGCTAGCTGAAAACTGTCATGGTTTACATTATCTTTGCCTCTCAGGATGCACCCTGCTGACTGATGCATCTCTCATTATTTTGGCTCAGCAGTGTCACTTGCTTAGCACACTGGAGGTGGCAGGGTGCTCACAATTTACTGACACAGGATTTCAGGCCTTAGCCAGAGTAAGTCATAATTTTGGGAACTTAGCTATACATAATTACATATAAATGGGTATTCTCTTAATTTTTTATGTCATTTCAGAGCTGCCGCCTTCTTGAAAAGATGGATCTTGAAGAATGTATTTTAATAACAGATACTACCCTTATGCATTTGGGAATGGGTTGCCCTAGACTTGAAAAGCTTGTGAGTTTTAAGAACAAATAGCTTTGTTATAAGCATTTTTTCATTATTGCAATGTCTAATATTTTTGAAATCTTTCTCTTACAGAGTTTGTCACATTGTGAGCTCATTACAGACGAAGGCATTCGACATTTGGGGATGTCACCTTGTGCTGCAGAAAACTTAACAGTCCTTGAATTGGACAACTGCCCTCTAATAACTGATGCCTCATTGGACAATTTAGTTTCTTGTCACAATCTTCAGCGCATTGAGTTATATGACTGTCAGCTTATCACTCACACAGGAATTCGAAGATTAAGGGTAATTATTTCTTGCTACTTTTTTGCTGCATGTGATGATTTGTAAGTCTCATTCAATTTCCTTTCTATTTCAGAGCAACCTGCCGAATATATTGGTTCATGCATATTTTGCCCCAGCAACACCCCCTCCTGCTGTTGGAGGCACTCGCCAGCGCTACTGCCGTTGTTGTGTTATATTATGAGGAAATTATACTGTCTGACAAAAAATAGACTTGAGTTTGGTGCCTTTTCAGGTCGTATGAGGCTGAAGCTTTTTGTGAGGAAGTGCGAGTGGAAGAATCTTTACATCGAGTAAAAACAAACATACTTTATGATATTTAGTCATTTACATTCTTAGTCATTATCAAAACCATATTAGGACTAAGGAGGTAGATATGCTGTAGTAGCTTCCTTGTTGTCTTGCCCTTTTAAAAAAAATCACTATTTTAGTGCAGTACCAGTACTCTCCAATTAAGTTTTAAATTTAAAAGATAATTATTTCATTCTTATGAGTTTATGACCAATTTTTATAATAACCATACATACATTCAGTCTTTCAGACTCCTATCTTCAAACTCCAATCTTACAATTATATCCATTATATGTATGTCAGTAATCTTTTTATTTGAGGCCTTATAATTTTTGTTTTTGTTGCCAACTGACCAGATAAAGCTTTTTACTTCATTGTCCCATTGTGTGCCTGTGTACTAACTGTTAGTCTTCTGGTCATACTTTTAAAGTTGCTCGTGTTCCATCTCTCTTTCTTTCTTTTTTCAAATTTTGCTTTTGTTTGTTTTCCTTAGCCCTGGGTTCATCCATTTAATTACAAAACTCAAATGGGCATTGCTTGAAAGGGCTTTTACCACATCAATGAACCCCCCCACCCCTTTCCTTTCTTTTTAAAAAAAGAACAAGTGTCCAAGTGACCAGACGACTTGAGTACCATCGTTGTTTTATGCACCTGTTGCATAGTGCCTTCATGCTTTTGTTGTTAGCGTTTCTTTGGCTGTGGTTTCTTACTCAAACTTGCAGATCCTTTTACATTTACCAGCCTGAAATTTATAATTTTGTCTAAAGTTCATGTCTAGTTGGTGCGTGAAGAATTGATTATGTTGTGTGAGTTTCATAGTTTATAATATTTTGCTTTTGATTTAGAAACGCATTGTGATTTATGTGCAATATGTTGCTTGAGCATCCAGTATCTTTTGTTTTGTTTTTGTGTTCAATTATGTAGTTACTGCACCGTTTATTTTTGTTACAATTTGTTATCTCATAGCAGATCGGTGTAATATTATCACCCGCAATGAAATCCCTAATTTCAAATGCATTTGCTTGTCCCCTGACAGCAGTCAGACATAGACTGTCGCCATATGAGCATTGGGAGGCTCCTAAATTTCTTTGTCAGAAAGTACTCTTTACTGCGATAAATTATTGTTATTATAATATTACTATCATATTATTATCAAACGTCTTGTATAAAAAGCTGTGATTGTTATGTCAGATAAAGCTTGTAGTGTGTTAAAGTAAAAATATGTGAAGCTGCATATAAGCATGTGCCTTGGATGTGAGACAAAATGCCTCTAGTTGTCATTAAATGGTAAGATTTTTGCTTTGGTTTTCCTGCGACCATTTCTAGTATGCCTGAGAGCAGTGTGGAAAAGCTACAGTTGTCTGCCATTCTGCATTTATATTACTCAAACATTACTTTACCTAGATGGTCTTTGCTGGTTCTTTATACATTTTTCCCAACTGTTTTTTTTTTCTAAACTTTGATTGATTGTAATTTATTGAAGCAAATCAAATATGCTGGTATTTGCTAGTTTTGTAGAATCAGTGATATGAAAATCGAATCTGCTTAATTAAGAGGTTTGCAGCTGTACAATGAACATTTTCTGTGTACTGCTCTGTGGATAAAGTCTGTGGCTGTGAGATATTAGTGGAGAATCGAGGACTTGTGGCAGTGAATGATTAATTTCTACCTTGACTGAAAGAGAAGTAGATTGATCTGTTTTAATTGTGTTGCTTTTGTGAGGGTTTCACACAGATTTTTTTTCTCCATACCTTTTTGAGATATCAAGCGGCTTTGGTAATTCAAATGAGATCAACTCTGTGTTTTAGCCATATTGGTTTTCCATTGTAACTAATGTAAAACCTACAACACTTGCTCAGTAGATTAGACAATGAATCACTGAACCGGGTCAGGCGTCTGAAGAGCAAAGTTGCCCAGCAGTAGTAGTGCTGGCTGCTGTGCGTCTCAACTTGTCATCAAGTATTGATCACAAAATTTATCCTATTTTCTTTTTTTCTATCAAACACTGTATTGGACAGAGTAGGGAACAGAAATGTGAAGGAAAAGCTACTGAAGTCAGTATTTGTTGTTTTTAATAAAGAGTTGTGCTCGTTACTGCTTTGAAACTTTGGAGCACAGAACTAAAATGCTGCCAATTGCACAATTTTATGTAAAATTGTGTGACTTTTTTGGTGGCTGATGAAAAATAGACACTGGCATCTGGTACCTACATTTTCTTCCTTCCTTTCTGCATCAATTGCGTCGAATCTTGATTGTAACTGTGATAAAAAGAAGGTCAATTTTTTGAAAACTGATAATGAATGCTATCATAAAATTTCATTAATCATCATGTTATGAGACTAGTGGTCTCATGATCATCATGTCATATTACATTAGTCAAACTATGTATGCGATGCCTTATATCATCGTAGTGCTGTTCCCCGTTGGCACCTTTTACTTACTTTGATCTGACCTAGCAGACTCCCAAAAAATGTTGTTGAGTTATTGTGCTTTTTCTCTTGTCAAGTACATATTATCTTCTTTGTTTATTGTCCAATTAAAGTTGTCACTGAAACTAAATTGCAGCCATAGAAATGAATGAACAAAGAAGACCAGTGGCTGTTTTTCTGTGTCCACAACGACTGCTTTGTTAAGAGGATTTTATTTGTGAACAATGTACTACATAGGTAGCCTTAACAATTATTTCTAAGTTATTTATATTTAAAACTTTCCTACTGTATTTATCGTATCTGTTCGTGGTAAGTGTCCATTGTCTCATGGTGAGATAATAAGTAACTTATTAAATAAAGATTTTTTTTTATTTTTACCATTTTAAATTTGTCTTATATCTTATCTGTGTTTGGGGGTGGCATTTGTCCATTCGGAAACAGGGGCAGTGAAATGAAACCAAGTCAAAGACACAATTTAACACTTTGAAAACTCTATATTGCCTTGTCTTTGAGTGGAAGCGATAGTTCCTGACATCCTGACCAGCAGGACGGGGAATTTCTAGATCACAGACGAATGCTTGCATGAAGGGATGGATGCTCATTTGGAATGCAAAATGGACTGAGTCAAGAGAGAGCGGACTGCTCATCTCATCGCGTGTAGACGGCCACGTAGTCCCCCGTGCTGCCGATGGGCGTGGAGGCGTCCAGCTTCCAAGGGCTGGGGATGTCCTTGGAGAAGGGGTGCGGGTGGCAGTGCGCGGTGGGAGCGGAAGGGGCTGCGTGCCCGATGTGGCTGGCGTGGACGGGCCCCGCCACCACCAGCAGCCGTCCCCGGAACGCCCGTTGGTACTCCAGGAAGGCGGCCGTGTCGTTAAAGTAGCAGAACATGAGGCAGGAGTCACTGCGTCCTCGCAGCGCTTCCTGCGGCCATGCGCCCGGGACTCAATTAGATCACCTTGTCAAAATATCCTCCATTTCCGGTGCTCGAACCCGGGTGCAGATTACACCATGGTACACACTACACACCTCCACCGCCGACTGGTCACCGTCCTCGTCCGGGAACACGAGCGGGAGGAACGTCGGCGGCGAGTAGCGACTCTCCCACCAGCCGCGGTTCACCTCCAGGCCGAGGACGTCGAGGCCTGGAAAACGTAGAGGGTCTTGACCACGCGCCGGCGCCCGGACTCGAACCCGGGCCCGGCACTCTCACCTGTGGCGCTGGCGAGTAGCCACTCGAACAGGCCCGAGCCGCAGCCCACGCTGATGACGTCCCGGACGCCGTGGCGGCGCGCCGCGTCGCCGATGAACCTCAGGATGTCCATGGTGGGCTGCAGCCACAGCAGCAGCGGGTCGTGGCGCGCCGAGCACGCCGCCAGCGCCGCCTCCCAGTCGCCTGCAAGCACGCCGCCAAGCACGCCAAGTCGAAAGGGGAAGCGGATACGAAAATCGAGAGCGATGGGCCTTAAAATTCTGAAAGGCTGACGTCAGTGGACTGATTCCGAGAGTACTTTTCGTCGCTCTGTCTCTCTCGCACCGATGCGGAACGCCCCACGAGTGCGAGAGAGACAGGGCGATGAAAACGGCTTTCGGAATAAGTCTGCAGGGAACACGAAACACGTGCCAGGGTGTTGGCAGGCTCCCAAGAGGTCCAAGAGGGAAGGCAGTGGACCATGGGGTGCCTACCTTTCCGGCACTTGCTCAGATGATTCCAGTTTTTCGCTATAAAAAGACTGTTTAGGGCCGAAATGGCCCTTGAAATAGTGCCAGGAGTTATTGGAGAGTGCTCTAAGACAACATCCTAAAATTTGGGCCGTTTTAAATTTGTGGCCCAAAACGTCAAAAAACCAATTGCCTTAGCTTTTTTTCGACAAAAATGGTCGACCACCTCCGATTTGTCTGAAATTCATATGGAACGTTGCCATGGGTCTTAGAAACAGATATCCGGTGCCCAAGGGTCTTTGGCGCATTCTTTTTGGTGTGAAAATGGCATTCCCCATGATCTTAGTTGCACTCTGGTACGGTGTGGACGATGGGTTGCCTTCCTTTCAGGCGCATATGCTCAAAGCTTTCCAGTTTTTCGCCAGGAAAACACCGTTTATGGCCGGAATGGCCAGTGAAATAGTGTCAGAAGTCTAGAGGAAGAGCTCCAGCACTACACACCCTTGGGCCATTTTAAATTCTTTGCCCTAAACGTGAAAAAACCATCGACGAAAATGGTCGACCACCTCCGATTTATGTGAAATTCATATAGAACGTTGCCATGAGCCGAAGGAACAGATATCCGGTGCCCAAGGGTCTTTGCTACATTCTATTCGGTGTGAAAATGACTTCTCCCGTGACACTAACGGAGTACATCGGAGCACCCTGATCCGGGCCGCCTGATCCGGGCCGCCTGATCCGGGCCGGGACTCACCTTGCTGCCTGAGTCTCTGCAGCTCGCCCCACCTGGCGTCCCGCTCCACGTCCACCATCGTCATTTCGACCGCCGGCCGAGATGTTCAATTTATCTCTTTGCTAGAGACCAACAGAGAAACCAGAAGCAACGCGGTCTGTTTCATGCATAAAACGCCTCGAAAAGAAAAATTTGGAAATTAAAACTTTTGGAAGGAGCAGCTTCCCTCTTTTGAAAGTGACTTACTTGCTCTGTTTGACTCTTGAGAGCCCCAACTCTTCTCGACGCCGGACGGACGGCTTCTGACGTGGGCCTCGCCCTGGCCGCCCTGGCTCTGGCCATGATCCTGCAGCCATCCTCTGTCCCCTGGCAGTCATCCCTATCTTCTATCGCCTCGAACCTTCCCCTTAGCCTAGGCGTTATCCCTACCCCCACCCCACACGCTTGGCAGGTGCGTCCGCCGGCAAGGCTGCCAGCACCTTTACCTTCAATTCCTTACGGTGTAAACCAGCCGAAGAACAAGGGGGGAAAGAGTGCCAAATGCTGCAATTAACTCACACGTTAAAAAGTTTTCGCAAGGATTGGAAAGGACTGACGCGACAGGCATGTGCTGCGACCCCCGAAACTGAAGTTTGAAGTTAGCGCCGTGAAGGCAGGCAACCCTCCAGCTATCGCATGGGTTGCCTATCTCCAGGCGTTGCAGGTCAGAGGGTTCCGAGGGCAGCTATGAGACACCACGTGCTTAGGGCTGGGGCCCCAGGCCCCAGTTGGCGCCCGCCGGGGCCCGCTGGTCATCTGCTGGGTTGCGTCATGCCTTTGCCGGCCGCCAAATGTAGGCCCTCTCTCTCTCTCTCGCTCCCGCGCACCTCTTGGCTTGCAGAGGTTAGGCGGCGGCCGAAATTCCCCACCCATGTTTCCCTGGACGGGGCTGCGTCATCCGACATGATTCATAAATGTGTTACGGCGTGGGAGATGGAGGTGGGTCTCGTCACGTGTCGACTATCGACCCGCCAAAGACGTGCTGGCGGGCAGGCAGGCCACCATCTGATTGTTCTCGGCGGCCGCGCTCTCTACGAGCCCGGTTAGCTCAGTCGGTAGAGCGTGGGACTTTTAATCCTAAGGTCGTGGGTTCGACCCCCACACCGGGCGCCTCTTTTTCGTCATAACAGTGCGTGCAGCTTAATATTGTCGTTCTGTTCGTGTTCTATTTGGCTTAACTGTACAGCAACTTTTGCTCAGTGTTCGCAGAGGTGCTTCTTATTCATTGGTACTACGAAACAAGAATAACCTATGTTCAGCAGCAGATGTTAGCAGTCGTTAGGTGTCAACTCTGTGAAGGTGATGGGCTATCAGGGAATTTCAAATAAAGAGAAGTGAAGTTTTGTTTTATAGCTTTATGAACATTTCATGTAATTACAAAAAAAAATCTTTATTACAATGCCATACAGCAGTCTAATAGTAATTTAACTAAAATGAGATGTAGAAGATGTAAAACTTTCACACCAAACAAAAACAAAAAAAAATTGAAAATAATGGTAACACAGATATTCAGTCCACTTTAATTTTGTGTGGCAATGAGGAGTCAGTTAAGGAGGTATAAGAACAAAAAACAAAACATTGGAGATTGAGCAATGCAATGCCCTGCACTAAATAATGCAGATGGATTCCAAAACAAGAAACAGTGTGCTGCGTTCCCTGGCAATGAAGGGTCCACACCTTCACGCTCCATGTAGTACCAATGAGTATTTCTTTGAACTGAGTAGTTTGGCATACTGGGGAATCCATACTTTGCATTGCCTGCACCTCATTGGTCACATGCTTAATGTCTACAGTCATACAAATAGATTATTAAATACAAATTTGTTACAGTAATACAATAAAAAATGAGCTAAAAGAATTACAATTTAATGTGGACTGATTTCTCAAAATCCCATCACTCCTTTCTTAACCATCTTCCTCCAAGCCACAATTTTTGTATTAGGCTCCTCTGAACCACATGTGAAATTTTCCTTAACAATCAGTATTTCTTTAAATGCTGCATACAGCAAATATTATAAATATTATAAAGCATCAATTTACAGTACTTAAAGAGAAATTAGGAAAAATGTAACATGGAAATGAGTGGACACTCATGCAGATACCACTCTCTAAATATTCAAATACTGCTCTTTGTTCACATGAAAAGACACTTGTATACTTGTAAAACAAATGCGTCATGATGCAAATACTACTATTCAAATCAAACAGCAATGATTTGATTACAGAAAAACTTTAAGTATGATTAACTTTATTTAAGATCATTTTCAGGGCACACTAAGATAGTGAGAAGTAATGATACCACTAATCACTACGGAGAAGAATCAATCGTCACAGCACTTTTGATTAACTAACATTCAGATATTGTATGAGCAAAATAACATAAAGGGAAGGAAACATGTCATGCCAATTCAAGCCATTCACAACAACTTTGATTTAAAGACTCAAAGAAAAACAAAGGTTTACGCTTACAGCTTATTTGCTAAACAATTTAACAAAGGCCAACTGTGGGCACTGCCAAAAAACAATTTACTAACGACATGTTTCCTTTCCAAACGAGCCAGTGCAATATGACCACAGATTGCAATCAATATCATGCTTGGCAAGTGCTGCTTGAGTTTTCTAAAATAAGAACATTTATAAGATAAAGGATTATTATAATAATAATTATTTTAAGATTTGAAGCATTTTAAGAGAAAGCCCTGCTTCTCTCGTAATGCTTCAGAATTCAAGCATTACCAAGCACGATCTCAAAGAGCAAAAGTGCAGCCTGTGCTTGGGAATTAAATCAAACACACCACATGAAAGTGAATCATTACAAATGATGCCAAGACATACAAAAAGGAACTTTCTTTATCAATTATCAGACTGAAATAATGACTGGCTTACTGTGATCAGGCTTGGGTTTAATCTAGCACACTAGTGCAAAAGAGGGAAAATAAACCCACTACAAACTTGGTCACAGAAGTTGCTCAACACTTTTTTTTTTTTTTTTTTCAAAAGTTTGTAAAGCAGATACTTAATACATAATTATCAGTACTGTTCCCGGATAGAGGGATATTCCTTTCAAGTTAACATATTTGATAATTAAATAATCATATTGTGTAACATCATGTAACATAATTTAGCAAGCACTCATGACCTTTAATACACAAATTACAAGCAGAATCACACACGTCTATACTGTTGAAATGGAGGAGTAAGATGGCGCAATAAGTGTACCAGAAAGAAACAGCTGTGAGGCATAAACATGAAAATTCAAATTTCACTCAACCATCGTATACAAGAACTCTTAGGCTTCCTCATTCACACACAAGCAAGAGCGCAAATCTACATTTTAATTAGATTAAATGCACACTCCATAACACTTTCATTCTCTTCTCACACATTCATAAATACATACATACTGCATTGGCCCAAATGCAAGACAGCACCCTTAAAAATTAGAATATAACGCTTTACACACACGTCAACTTAATACAGAATAAAATAATAGAAACTCTAAAAGTTAACAGAAAAAAATCACACAACACAAGGGAAACAGCAACAAATTACATGATTGAAGAAAACTCAATCCATGACGGTTTCTCACAAAGTAAATCACAAATTAAACGAAAATGAAAGTGTGATGTTTCAAATAATCGGTAGATCATAAGTAACTTTCATAAGCTATGTCCGATATTTCCTCCATATACTTTATGCCAACTTCAGAAAGTTGGAGAACTCAGAATTTATGGCAGGTACGGTAATTTTCATGCCACTCAAAGAAACAATGGTAACAATAATCATGACAAAGGCAGACAAAGACCAAAATCATAAACCTTAAAATCATGTAAAATAACAAAAGATGTCAAATGGAAATGACATCAATCATTGTCCAAAATATTAAGATAGTTTTACCTCAGAAACATTGTCTTCGCACTTAGGCCAATCCTGTGTGTATCAACACACAATCATTCATGCATTCATTCATCCATTAAATACTCCAAACATTGAGTGTGTAACAGATCCACACATATTCGCAAACAAAGAGTTAGAAAGAGGAAAAGAAAACAACGAGGGTTGTCCTAAAACAAGGCCAGGAATTGGCTACATACAAAATGTAACAAAACTAACAACCTATTTACAATTACTTCTCTGAGGGGTATACAAAATAAATTTATGAGAAGAATGATGGAGAAAACAAGACACATAGGGAGAGAAACATAACAGAAAATAAGTAGCGAGAATACAGCATGAAGCATGACAAGTTTGTCTTAATCACAAGACGTAACACAACAGTACAGTTACATATGCACCACTCATTTCGCTGCTTGAAAAATATTCATCCTCACAATTTAAACTTAAAGGTCTTACATTAACAATTGAATTGAATTCTGAATATACAGTCACAGGTTTTACCAAATTTCCTAAAGCAAGAAAAAATGGGAAGAAGTGTAAATAAATAATAAAATTCAACCTAAATCATGTAGGTCCTAATTAAGAGCACACAGCAACAATAATAACAACAACAACAACATTAGATCAGCTGGCTTTTAAACAACTGCCAGAAAGTCAATGCGATTACTGTTTTAAAACAATTTCATCATCAACTAATAAAAGAAGTAAAACGAAGGGGAAGATGAGAAAGAAATTGAAAGATGAGACGAAAGACAGTGAATTTTGAAAGTTTAACAGGCAATCCCTTATGTGTGTTTCACGACAATTACTCCTGGTCGATGCTGTTGTTGCTGGTAGGTAAATGAGTCCATTTTCATCTAAAAAAGAAAAAAAACAAAAAACAGACCATTAGACAAGTGACAAAACACCGTTAACAGGAATAATGGGGTTGCTTAATATGTTTTACATACCTTCAGTATTCTCTGGTCTGCGCTCTGCTGAGGTAACACTCTTGAATTTGTGGTAAGAGCAAGGGGCATTTCTTGCGCCTCATTTTCAGGACATCCCTGCAATCTCTCTTGAAGATGGTCTTGGTGAGGGACAATAACTTCTGTTGTCACTGATGTGACGACCGATTGAGGTGGAAGAACTGGAAGTCGGTGAGGGGAAGGATCGTCACTGAATAAGTGATCACCCTCCAGGTGTCTTATCGCTTCTACGATGGTTTCCAGATTCTGCCTTGAAGTATTGATAAACAGCCTGAAAAACATATGGAAAGATGTTTATAATAACAATCGATCCCTAATAACAATTAAAAGATTCACTTTCCAGAATTTTCAGAACATTACCTTGCTTGATCATCAGAGATGGAAGGGGGAGATGGAAGTCTCTCAACTTCTACTTTGGGCTCTGCTTTGATTGCTGCTTCCAAGACGCTGGGTTGTGCAGGCTCCAAAACCGGAGAGACAGGTCCCAAGATGGTTGTTTGAATGGGTGAAGGGCATGGGGATGCAACAACAGGAATTGGCAGAGATGCCATTTGAGGGCCCTCAGTATCAGCAGCGAAAATGAGTGACGGAGAAGCGACAATTGCTGAGGACTGGATAGAAGTAACACCGTCAACTTCATCTTTAAATAGTCTGCTGCCACTGTGAGAGGAGCACTGTGACTCTCTTCGAGGGGGAATCTCTCTTTCAACAACCTGAAACATTGAAAAATTAAAATTAACACAAATAACATAAATATTACATTGGTATAAGCAACAACTGTTAAAGCAAGTCACAGTGGTTTCATCTGAAACTTACCGTCTGATGAATTATTGAATGGGAGAGCTCGGCATCTTGTTTCAAATCTGGGTATAAATCTTCCTCTAGTGGGGGATCCTCAGGCCATGCTGCAACCTGCACAAATGTATGGAAATTAGAACCACTTGCCATGGATGAAACAGATAATCAACAAAAAGGCAGCAGAGGAAGTCATGCACTTACCTCATGTTGGTATTGCAGAGGAGCTCGGTCAGGGAAAAGCTGGTTTTCTAGAGACTTGACTTGATCCTCCAGAACAAGCCTGATGCGTCTCTCCCGTTCCAGGTGGACACGCAAGTCCATCATCTCTCTGCGCAACATTTCGGTGGCATTCTCTTGCTCCGGTGTAGGGACAGTGGTTCCTCCAGAGGCACCCATGCTGACGGGCTCGGGAGACATGCTTCCAATGCCTTCGTCAGAGGACTCGCTCACAGGGGCAGGGACAACCGTGACAGGTCCTGCAAATCAAAAGGATCTCTTAAGAATCGCCACTCACTTCAATGCCCGAATATTGACCTGTGTGCACGTCGCAACAAACCCTTACCCGAGTCAGTCTTCCGCTTTTTGACTGTAGTGGAGGTCTCTCCTTCATGCTGATTGATAATTCTCTTCAGCTGGCAATTCTGTGAAAGAAGTCTGGTCTTCTCCTGCTCCAAGGTGTAGATGTACTCAGCGGTCTGTTGCAGTATCGCAGCCTGGAACACACAAATGAAGAGCCACAGTGAGTCAGTCTGCCGCGACAGCTTCCAAAATCCAGTCATGGGTACTGGCACGGGCCGCGACTTCCACGCCGGCCCGTCTCGTCTCGTCACCCTGCATCCTTTGTTCTACGGAGGGAAGTTCCAGGGCCACGGCCGCCTGGCCGTAGCCCAGCCCAGGGCCGGCGCACTGGAACGCAGGCGCTGCAAGGCCAGCCTAGGCCCGCCATTGCGCACGCCGAGGTGTCCTTGCGGGGCTGGACAGCCTGGACCTGGGCCGCCTCTCAATTGAAGCAAGGAGACGGAAACGCACTTCCCTGCACTGCCCTTCGGCTTCGGTTCGGCCTTCCCGATTCCTGTCGGGCCAAGTGACGCCCAACAAAGGCGTGGACTGCACCGGGGCAGGGCGGGGGAGGAGGGGGACGCAGAGCACGTCTTGTCTTTGTCTGAGGGGGCAGGCCAGCCAGGCCGCCAGGCCAAGAGGGCATGTACAGACAAGCATAAGCCAAGCCAGAACCAAGTCGAGCAGCTGTGGCAAGAGGCAAGTCCGGCGACATGGCGTGGCGGTCTTGAGCAGCCGGCCGGCCGGCATCTACCGCTTCCCTTCCCCTCCCCTCCCCGGCCCCGCCGCTCAAGGTCTCCCCCTCCCTTCTCCTGGAGACGAACAGGCGCGGCGCGGCGCGGCGCGCGGTGCGGTTGAATCCAGCCGGCAAGCACGCCAAGCAGGGCCCAGCGCTGCTCGCTCGGCGACGCGCCCCGGCTGCCCCGGCCCGCACGCCACGCCGACGCCGTGCTCGCGGTGCACGCGGTGCCCCCCGCGAGTTCGCACCGACCGCGTGCTCTGAAACCAGCACGCGGCCTCCGTCGGCGGTGCGCCAATTTTAGCGCGGGGGCGCATCGCTCCAACCTCGTCCAGCCCGAAGCTCACGGCGAAGCCCCACAAGGCCCCCGCCGAAGCGTCCCTCCCGACGGAGGACCAAGTGCGCAGATCCTAGAGCCGGCCAACCTAGCGCAGCCCATCGCAGCCCAGCGCAGCCGGGCCACAGCGCGGCGGGACACAACAGCTGGGATTCGCGGAGTGGCGGAGCGCGGCGCAGAGCGATGCCCGCGGCCCGCGCGCGGGGGCCGGGAGGGGCCACGGGGGCCCTGGCTCATTGAGCCCCCCGAGGCCCCTCCGAGGCCCCTCCGAGGCCCCTCTCTACCCGCGAAGGCCTCCGAGGAATGCACCCCCCCCCCTCTCCGCGCCGTGGTCGAAGGTTAGCGCGGCCAACCAACTAACCAGGCAGGCAGCGGTGGCGCGACGTAGCGGCCAAGCACAGCGTAGCACAGCCAGGCGGCACGGCATGGTCCAAGAGTTATTTATATCCAGGGACCCCCACTCCACGCCACTCCGCGGTTTGAGCCGCCGCAAGTCCTGCCGCGCCTCTCTCTCTCTCTAGTCGCGCCATGTGGGACGGACGACGGGTCGGGCTGGCCGTCAAACCGCGACAAGGGAAATGGGAAATGCACGCCGGCACTCTCACAACTGGTGTCGGCGACGCCGCAGTGCAGAGACCCCGCGGAACCTTGAGCCTTAGGGATCAGGTTCACACGGCTGGGGAACGCCCCACCCCGCCCCGCCCCGCCGCGCCCCGCGCGTCAAGCATGGCGGCCAGCTGCAGTCTATCCGCGACTCCTGGGGCAGGTCAGGGAACACGCGCGATGCTCGCAATGCTACGCTACTATGCGCCGCCAAGACATAGCCAAGCCGCGCCCATTCCGCGACCAGCCTCATTCCGTCCCGCTCGCACACATGGGGCGTTGCACAGCGCCCCGCGTGGGTGCGAGAGAGACAGAGATGCGACATGCGGCGGCACGGCCAGACGATCGCCACGTGCTTTCCATCGAAACCGCCAAAACCAGAGCAGGCAACCGGCGGAAGTGAAAAACAAAACCCATTCCACGGTTTCCGAAACTCGCTTCAAAGTCTCCCGCGCCGCCTTCGGGTCGGGACTCGCGGCCTCCTCTCGTGGCCCTTCGGCTGGCTCGGCTGGGCGGCCTTTTCGAGTTCAAAAGCGGACGGGACGGGCGGCGTTTCGTGGAATGGGCCGAGAAAGGCGAAGCAAAGCGAAGCGAAGCACGGCCGAGTCGAGCCGAGCCACGATGTGGTCGGGCAAAGCGCGGGATGGAGGATGGGCGGAGCCGAGGCGGCCGACGACGGCGGCGCGCCCAGCGCCTCGGCTGGACTCGGCCCTCGCTCGGCTCCGCTCGTCTCGGCGCGGCTCGCCACGGCCCGGCCGCTGCGCGCCAGGTGAAGGAACCAACGTCCTTCGACGTGTCCTCGCAGTGCGCGGGGCTGCGGGGCCGGTCCGTGCCGGGGACGGCGGTGGGGCGGGGCGCGGCGCGGTGGTGCATTCGGGGCCAGGCTCTTTGGCCCAAGCGCCGCCGTGTATGCACCATTTTCTCCATTTTCATTTTCCCCTTTAAGTCCGCGCTAATTGCCATTAAATGCGAGATGCCGGCGGGAGGCGCCACCTGCCGCCAATTAACGCGGCCCGCCACGCTTCGCCGCCCGCCGTCTCTCTCGCACTCGCGGGGCGCCGCGCGAGTCGCGCATGGGTGCGAGAGAGACAGAGCGACCGTCGGAAACAGCGAGCACAGCCCTCGCGGGGTCCTCGCCGCGGCCCCGCGGCCGAGCCCGGTCCGCCCTAGACGGCGTAGTCCAGGGGTCCAGGGGGGCCCCGCTGGGTTGCCGGTCCCGCCTTCCATCCGTCGGGGCGCGTGTCTGCCCGCATTGATCCGACGCCCAGCCCAAGCCGCGGGTCGGGCCCAGGGCCCAGGGCCCAGGGCGCCAAGGGTTGCGCCGAGGGCCGCGTCGTTACGCCCTTCGGGCCCTACACCGTCGGGCCGCCCAACAGGTACGCGCCGCAGCAGGCCGCCCTCTAATCCCACCGCCATCGCACACCATCGCGTGCCAATCGGGGAAAACAACATCGGCCCCGCGGGGACGCGAACCCGCGCCACCGCCGCGGCGGCAGCGCCACGGCAGCGCGGCAGCACACGCCACGCCGCATTCCTAGGCAGGCAGAGCACTGGCAGAGCGGGGCCGGGTGGCGCGCTGGAATGCAGTAGTCAGAATGCAGCAATGCAAAAAGGACGAGGCAGACGTGCGGGCCCCGACAAGCATCGCGTAGCACCGCGCAGCACCGCGCCGACGTGTACAGCAGTACAGCCCGCGCCAACGCGGCCAACGCCGACCGGGACGCCGGCACGGCCTGTGGCACGGCGGCACGGCGGCGTAGTGGTAGTAAACTTGTAGTAGAGTAGTGGTGGGGCCGTGGGGCCCAAACCCGAGGTGGGGCGGAACGCGGGACGAGACGAGCATGGCTGTAGCACGGCGGGGCCATCCCAACTACGCAGCAGCAGCAGCGTAGCCGAGCAACAGACAGGACCCACCAAAATCCGCTTTGCAGTGCCAGCAAACAGTTCGCACCACAGCCAAAAAATTCCAACGGCCGAATAATTTGAATAAGTCGTCGATGAACGGTCATCGAAAAGGGTAGACTTGAGTTTTAGTCAAGGCATGCCTTGAGCTACCAGAACCTTCACCCAAAGGGCTCATGCCGTGTCGAGGAGCCGGCCGCCGCCTTCGGCTAGAACGCCATGAACATGGTAGCCAGAACATGATGAACACGGTGGGCCAGACCAGAGCAGCAAACCACAGCAACGGCGTGGCTGGGCTCCCTGCGCGGCAAGGCAAGCAACGCGCTTCAAAAATGGGGACCGGGCGCGCCGCAGCGTGGCAAGCCTGGCAGCCCTCCGTCTTGTCCGTTCCGTCCTCCGAGTCCTCCGCTCCGGCAGGTTGGCAACACCGCCAGTGGCAGCCTGGCCGGCCTGGCCCGGCAGCCTGCGCGCCGCGCGGGAAGAGCGGCGACAGGAGGGAACTGCAGCGACTGCAGCGCGCCGCGGCGTTGCAAGCGGTGCGGCCGCGCAGGCAGCTCGAGGAGTGCAGCCTGCACGGCGTGCACCAGTGCACCAGCAGCAGCGCGCCGGGCAGACCGAGCAGCCGGGCAGGCATGCGGCAGCGCGGCACCAAGCTCACCCCAGGTCCACAGCTGTTCTCCTGGGCCGCCCCTGCGCACCCCGCCAACCCCGCCGCTGTAAGGCTGACCCTCCCACAGCTGTTCCCCTCTCCTCCCCGACGTCCCCGTCCACAACAACAAAGCTGCGAGCGAGGCTGCAGCAAGCAGTGCTTGAGCTGCAAGCGCTGCAAGCATCCCCGGGGCATCCAGGGCGACCAGCGACCACGTGCAAGTGGCTGGCTGGCTCGCCGAACACGCCGTGGCCACACCACGTGGCCCAGACAGCGTCGCCCAGCACCTCTCGCTCGTACGGGGCGTTGCCGTGAGCGCGAGAGAGGCAGAGCGACGGAAAGATGAAACCAGGCCGATTCTCAGCGCGACGCGAATCGGAAAACCACGGGAAAACCCGAGAAACCCAACCGACGCGCAAAACCTCGAGTCACTGAGTTCATTGAGGTCGTGGAAAAAGCTGACAGGTGAAGGGCAGCGTACGGATTTTACGAGCCATTAAATCATCGCACAAAACTTGCGGCGCGGCCGAGGCGGGGCTCCGCGGGGCTCGTCCCGTCTCTCTCACACCCCCCGCGGAACGCCCCGCGGAACGGGCCCCCGGGCCGCGAGAGAGAGAGACGGCGCGACGGGTACGTACTGTAGTTCCGATTGTGGGAACCCGAGGCGAGCTTCCCGCCAGATAAAGTAGAGCAGGCAGGCCGCGTCAGCCCGACCGTGTCAAATTAACCAAATTAATGTTTTCATTTCCTAATTAATTAACTGACTGACTGGCTGACTCCGCGGAGCCAACCCTTGGGCACACCGCGATGCGCCGCGAGCCGCGGGCAAACCCCGACCGGCCCTGTGACCGGCCCGTACACATAAAATAAAATACTCGCGCCGGTGGAGGGGGAACAGTCGTAAAGCAGCAAATCCAGCCGGACA